TCGGCACAAGCTCTTTAGGTAGGTCATGCCCTGTTTTCCTATGTCTTTACTGCCTTCAATATGTCCTTTGAGTGTCAAATTTACCAATTCCTCTTTCCTCACTTCTGATGTTAAGTAAAAGTATATTTTTGTTACTACTTTGTCGTTACTCATAAGTTCAGTCCATATTATTCTCAGTATCCTTCTGTAGAACCAAAATTCTGTTGCTTAATGCCTCTTTTTCATCTGTGAGGAGATTGCCCCAGAGTTCATTGTCATATAGGAGGATCGGTATTACAAAAAAGATCAGTTTAATCTCTTTTTTCTTTGTTTCTAGGGAAACTTTCCTGTTTCTTAATACTTTGCTTAGCTTTTGGAAGGCATCATGCGCTTTGGGATTTCGGTGTCGCACTTTGCGTCTTCTGTTCATACTTTTCTCAGGTATTTACATTTTTGCATTTCCTTCATTTTTGTATCTCCAATTTCTTTTTATTTAAATCATTTCAACCCAAGCAAGGCAATAAAGACACTAAGGCACAATAGGTTTCTGAGTGTTAGAGAATATGAAAAAAATATACTATTAAGGAGAGAGAACAATAAAAGTACAATAATTAAAAGATAGAAAATAACGATTGACATTGCATTTAAACTTTTGAAGATCAAAGTTGACTGGGAGGTAAGAAGCCGGAAGAGATTTCCACAATTGAGAAGTGCGACAGAAGAAACTGTTAGAATAGAACTTACGGTTACATCTAGCCATTTCAACTGTAAAATGAAGATACCTTCTCACCAGTTCATAAAGTCCAGGTACCATAAAAGGAAAGTTCATCAGAATAATTACCATCGATGTATTTATAGAAAAGACACAGGCAAGCTAAGTTACGGCGGTGGGAAAGTGACTGAAGCCCAGATGCCAAGTTAGGAACAATAAGATTGCATATTCTTCTTTGTATTTTACCAAAAATCTCTAAATAGATAGCAGACTGAGTGTGGCAGCAATATCCAAAGCGAGGACGAATGGTAGACTAATAAGTATGTAAGATAGATTTTCGCACGACACAGTGACCCAAAGTTTCTAGCAGCAGACCTAGCAATTAAATCAATCTTTTCACTTCATGTCAACAGAAAAAAGTTAGTCACTCTCCTGGAGGTTAGCATCAGCCATGTTAATGGAAGGTGAAAAGGATTCTTTCAGACGAGTAAACGATAGCAGTTTCATTTTGGAGGTGTTCTAATTAACAAGCCATTCCTTGCCCCATTTACCAACAGACTGTATGTCATTTTTGAGATTTGCTGCCAATTTGTCCTTATTGAACTGGACAGAATTGCTATTAAAACATGAATAAATTGTTGTGCCATCGGCATAGATATGCCGATGGCACAACAACGATGCCGAACTGAGAATTGATGAGATATGAGGCAGACCATTTATGAAAATTAGAAACAACGTTGGTCCAAGAGTAGATCCCTGGGAGATCCCAGCATTAATGGGAAATGATCTAGAAGCCTGGCTGTTCAACTCGATCTTCATTATACGATTTATTAAGAACAATTGATTGTCAAATATTTAATAGAGAAACTGTATCTTTTTGAGCTTGGATGGTAAGAAGGCCAGCTTACTAAATCCTGTCAAATATCTTCGAAATATCAAAAAGCCACAGTCTGAGCTGAGACTTACTTATTTAAAGCTTGAAAGACAAGTTCATTAATAATAAGTGTTAACATATTTGCGGGTTGACCTAGAGTAACGAAAGCCATATTGTTTACCTGAAAGGTGGTTTTATGAAGAGATGCTTAACCAATTCAGAACTGATTAGAATCCCAGAAATGATTGTGCTCTAAACACCGCTAACATAGCCAGTGAATGTGTGTGTGTATGTGTGTATATCAAAGACATAACTCTTTAATCCTAAAACCGTCTCCCATTCCTTTTTAATCATAGCTCCTAGTTAATATTACCGTCCAGTTCTTATCTCAGTTAACAACTGGTTGGAGATCATTTTCTAGGGCAGCTGTCTGTTTTACTTTGTCGGACAAATCGAAATTACTGGTAATACAGGAATAAATAGTCGAGTCATCAGTATAAATACCGGGCTGAGAAGTGATGAGGCATGAGGCAGATCATTTATGAAAATTAGAAACAACGTTGGTCCAAGAGTCGAGCCCTTGGGCACTCCTGCATTTATGCAAAAAGATCTAGAAGAGTGACCATTCAGGACATTTCGTGAAAGACTGAATCAGTTCAGAAATTGTAGAGTAGATGTAAGTAAAACAAATTCAAAATCTAAGCTTTTATGTGTAGAAATATTTTGCTTGTAAGTGTAAAAACATTTTGCTTGTAAGTGTAAAAACATTTTGCTTGTAAGTGTAGAAATAGATTTCTAGCAAGGGTAGGAAGAAAACTAAATAGGTCACTGATCAACTTGTAAAGACTTGTAAAATTGAAACTTCACTTACATGCACGAATACAAGTGTCATTTTGCCTCATCTTTTCCACTACGATCTATACTTAAAAGTGATG